GTCTAAATTTTGCCTTGTATGAAATAACCTTTCTATACCTTATTTCTGTTTGACCTATGGTCTCCAAATAAACTTCATATCTAGTTTTATAAGACCACACAAAGTTTCACTGCAAAATTTTTATAAACCAGGTCTGAATTAATCCTGTTTGTCATTCCTCCTGCATCGATACTGTCCTTGGCAAATGGCCTCAGTCACTGAGGCAGAGAAGTTCACTTTTAGTATTCAGCTAATGTACAGTTGGGACCCCTAATGACTCATGCTATTATAAAATTGACTGAGATCACCTAAAAGAAAGAAACAAGATCATTAGAAAAACTTCAGTATTCTCCAATTCATGTAATGCTTGTGCTCTGAAGACAGAATTCCCTATTAGGTACTCTGAAATGTCTAATGAAGGCTGTTGTAGCAATTTGGATGATATTTGCAATTGAGGAGTCTCTAGCTATTCTAATTGTTCCACCTGTTTGAAAAAGAGATGAAGGGCAAAAAAAGATCAGAATGAAATTAACGGATAAGTAAAAATTAGAGATGAAGATGCTACATTTGGCTCTGTCAGAATTATAGAGTATTTCTTGGTCAGGGTTAATAGCAAATATCTCAGTTCTCTACTCAGAAACTGCTGATGATGGATGATGGATTAAGTTTACTGGTATATTTTAATAGATTGGAACAGCAAGGATTCCTGGTAATATTTATCTCAAAGACCAGCATTTTCTTATTTCTGATTAATCTAAAGCCAACTTGACATGTAGTCATAGTTTTAATGAAATTTGAGGTTTGATATTCAGAAAGAGGAATCAGAGAAAAAAAGAAACACAGACCATATTTTTTAAAAGGAAATGGTGTATATTGGTGGCATTTATTTACACATGAAGAATTTCCCTACTTTACACATAACTCCTGGTTTTCTAGATATTTATTTTTGTTGTTTTTTCCAACAAAATCATATGCAGTAGTGAATGCTCTTTATCCAAATCCTGCAGCAATGACAGAATGTGTGCACTAAACATGTCTTATGGAGAAAATACCCATGCAATTCCAATGTATGATGGCTAGCAAAAATACAAAAAGGTTCAGGTTGCTCAAATAAATAAAGCCATCTACTGAACACCATCAACAGCAACTTTTCTCAGGAAAGAAGAAGAAAAAGTTATGGTTAGTTGAAAAGTTAGACTGGTGTGTCCAGCTAGAATATTACAAAACATAATTTAAAATCCAAATTAAATTGGTAGCAGACTTAATTATTTCTATAAACAAGTAACAGAATTGTAATGAGGGTTCAGCTGTTCACGTACGCTGTAATTGATCCTTGGGTTGGGAACAGTTTCTGCTTCCAGCTCTGCATTGGTATCTTGTACCAAACTTTTATTCCATTGTTACTCAGAGAAAGTTACTCAATCCAAATGAGCATAAAAGCACATTATGTAACATACCTGACAGTTCAAAGACAAAGAAGAAGGAAGAACATATAAAGGCGTGGAAGAAATTCCACCCATCTAAGGCACTAAAGGAAAGAAAGAGCAGGGATACCTGTAAAGTATTTGAATAGGATTTCCTTCTACAAATAAAGACCTTTCCTTATAAAAACACTTCTGAAAATGCATCATAAAGAAATCAATTTTTGAAAAATCAGATATAATGGAAGTATACAATAGATGACATAGATTTGTTGCATAACAAATAAATAAATCCTTGTTTTCTTTTACATTTTGAATATTTTCATGTTTTCCTGGTCAGCATATTTAATTGCTTTATTTTTATACAACTCAAAGTATATATTGCAAAATACTTTGTTTTACTTTAACAATAAATAAAATTGCTACAGTGTTTCCCTAATTTAATCTTCTTGTCTGATACAATATATAAAATTTAATTTACCTCTATAACTAAAGCCTGGTAGGAAATTTGTTCATTGAGTTATACCTTTCAACATTTTTCTTGCAGGTAATAGAATATATAAAAATAAATCTCCTTTCACTCAAGCATTTTATGGTATGCTGTCAGCAAATGTCCAAAGAAACACAAACCTAAAGCATTGAAAGTGAAACCATTAACTTGCAGGTAAATCATAGGAACTTCTCATTTAAAAAATGATTTGTAAAGGTCTAATGAACTGCTGGGGATAAGAACTGAAAATTACCACATATTAGAGTCTTCCTCATCTCTATAATAAATACAATCTTATTTCAGTTGGACACAAAAATAAATTTCACTAGTTCCATTTATACTTTTAAATCACAGAAAGGGTAACTGTAACAATGCATGAACAAACACCTTCTTTCACCTTCATCACTCAGGTAAAAATGTGAATATATTTCCCCCACTTGAATAAAATCCATGCCTGGACTGAGATTCAAATTAGAAATTTATTCCTGAACACATAAATACGACAGTACTGTATTTAATTTCTGATGGCTATAACTGTCATGCTTGAGTTGCCTTTTCATTCTCTAAAATAGGCTTCTTTATGTATCACACCACATTACTGAATACTGTTAATCTTCAATATAGTTAATACATTAGGCAAAAAAAAAAAATAATTTCTTGTGGGTTTTACTGCAAGAAAGTATATTTGAGACAGCCATTTTAGTCTGACTTTGCCAGTCATGGAAAAGAAAAATCACAAACAAACCAAGCCACCACAAAACAAACCAGAAATTTTGTGGAAATCTGAACCATGTTTCCTGACAAAGGAGCTAACTTATAAAATAAGTGAAGCCTTCCTTCCATAAACACTGAAGGAGAGAATTTAAATTCTGTTGTTTTGTGGGCTTTTTGTCATTATTTGTCTAGGGGCTCTTTTTCTTTATTTGTCCACATGTTGTCTGCTCCCTGTGCCCCCACAATGAGTAAGAGACTGTACAATGGACTTTGAAAGGAAACTACAAGCTACCTTTTGTTATGTCATGCTGTATCAGACAACAATAGCCTCAGTATCATTTCTTCAGTATTAGAATAATTTTGAACTTAAATGTTATTTGAGAATTATGTAGCTACCATGTACTATTAACACTTCTTCCCCCAAAAAAATCCTTTTTTTTTTCTTAAGTAAATACTGCCAGTATCTTTTCTATCACTTCCTCTATACTTCCTCTGCCATCCAAAACTTTGTTCGTTTTGGTATTTCTGTGGATTGAGAGTTTTTCAGAGCAAAGGAAAAGCTCATGCAACAAGTGGAAAGGTTTATTGAGAGTAGAGAGAATGGCTTCATTTTTCCTCTAATATCAAACTGAGTATTTCAGGTAATGTAAGAAATCTATAGATTTTCCCTAACTTCAAATCTTATTCTGAAGCCTTGTTTTCAGACCTTAAGGAAAAGAACAGGAAATTTAACAGAAATGGAGTGGAGGGAAGATTTCTCAAAGCAGTTCACTTGCAGAGATTTAGTCCTCACTTTTTAAGAAGTGTTACTGAAAAACAACAAAAAAGAATGAAACCAAAATAATAGAATGACAGGTGGTTTTTAAATTTCTGTTTTTATTGTCAGTCAGGCAAAGAAATTCTCAGCACATATCTAACACAGACTATTGAAACGGCGTAAAAAAAACAAGTCACTGAGTTATGATCACTCAGCTACAATATCCAGACAAATCTTTCTTCTACCATACTCAGAATTACTATGCAGCAGTGTTGGCATGTTCATAGCTACCATCTGACACCACACCTTTTCAAAATCCTCAGGAGGTTACTCAATCTCATCACATAGGGGCAGGAACTACAGTGATACTACTGAAATACTATTGCTACATGGCTGAAGATTCTGCATCACCAGCAAACTTACCTTACCACAAAACCCCACTAACACTTGCTACTAAAATTAATGGACTACTAGAGGAAAATAATGGAGGGATGGGAGGTGTTGTCAGTAACTCCTGACTCCTCATAAAATTCTTATGAGCAAATACAAAATTCAGGGATAGTTTCATTATGACAATGTGTAATTTCAACACCTAAAACACCTGGAGAAGGTTAACACTGGAACAGTACCGTCATCTGAGAAGACACAGTGCATTCTATTCACCTTCCTAACCTTTCAGCTGGGAGGGTTGGGTGTTGGAAAGAAAGGATAACATCATACTTCCTTTTCTAAGTACAGGTCTAGTGACAGACTTTTCCTAGCTGTACTCAATCAAAAAGGCACAGCCGTGGAATTAGAGTTTTTCCTAGTGACCTAAGTGCTTACAAGGTATGTGAGAAAATTTTTGAAATATGCTATATGAAAAACAGTCAGTTGTGACAGCCAATATATTGTATTAATTATTCATTGAGCTTTGCAGAGTTTCTAACCTAACCCCTGGATTCCTGACACTAGGTCAAGAGTAGTAAAGAGTAGTAAAACTAAAATTATTATTAAAAAAAGAAAAAAGGATAAAAAAAAGACGCAGGTAAACTCTTCAGCTGATTTGTAGTGATTCAGTTGCTCTGAGACCTCCACAGTTTTCAGTACTACACAACTAGAGAAGCAGAGTGCACGCAGAACTGACCTAAGCCACAGCAACACTGGGGCTCAGGGGCCCAGTGTATGCTAGGTGAGACATTAAGGCACGTCTGCTGTCACCTCTGCAGCATCCCAAGGACAGCACATTTCATGCAGGGAGAGAGAGATTTGCTACTAGTGCTGTAGCCCAGGGAGATCTAAGAAATGTGCATTGCAAAAAATCAAGAGAAGAGAGAGTGAAGGCACATCATTTATAAAACAGCTTGACTGAGCAAGTAAGTCTGATTTACCTGCACCGTGCCGCTATTGTCACGACGGCTCCGCAGGGAGCACATTCATTTGTCATTTCCACCGTACCATATCTCAAGACATACAAGTATTACATCGAATGCATCCCTCAGCAGTTGGCTCACAGCCTGCTTTCTGGCACAACTCAAATCCATAGATAAATGCTCAGGAGCAGCACGCTGCTCTTCATCACCCTATTTCTAACCTCTTGTAAAGCATCTGCACGCAGGCTTTATTTCACCGGCTTTAGGTTTTCCCAGGTTACTCTCCATTACAGATATTTGCGTCTGAAATAGGTGAGAGTGCTCCTTGTGGGACTCCAGGGCCTGCGGGACCCTGCCAGAGCCAGGGTACTGCCCGAGGGGCACGACCCGGAGCGAGTCAGCGTGGCATAGGCAGAGGGAGAGGTGGAGCGGGGTAGGGTGCTGTAGCCAGAGCGGGACAAGGTGTAGGAGGAGCGGTTCAAGGAGCTGTACGGAGGGCGTGTAAGTGTGCCGTAGGTGGCACGGGTCGAGGAGTAGCCCGAGCGCCCCTCGGGGCTCCACAGCGACCGGGAGGTGGGAGCCCACGTGGAGCCCAAGCGAGTGGTGGTGTCATAGGAAGGGCTCCACTGAGAGCCGCACAGCGAGCGAGACCCGGCGGTGCCCACAAGCTGGGAGATGGAGCGAGAGGTGGGGGCACAGAGGGAGCGGGCTGTGGCACCTGCCAGGGGGCGCGGGGATGGGGAGCACGGGAGGCAGGCGGCGGCTGGCGAGTCCAAGGGCTGAGCGGCGGGCGAGCTGGCAGGGCGGGCCCCCGCGGCCACCAGCGAGGCGGAGGTGGGCGAGCACAGGGAGTGGGCTGCGGGGGGCCCGACTGGGCGGGGGGCTGGAGAGCACAGCGAGTGGGACGCCGGGGGGCCCACGGGCCGGGGGGCCGGGGAGCACAGCGGGCGGGATGCAGAGGCGCTGCCCACCTGCAGCACTGTCGGGGTGCTGCTACGGTCAGCGGCGCGGGGCACTGGGGAAGGCGCCGGGGAGCACATGCCGTGGGCTACCGTGGCACTCAGGGGTTGGGTGGACACGGTGGCCACTGGGCCGCCCGGAGGCTGGGTGGTGGGAGAGGGTGTGGAGCCGCAAACGACGTGTGAGATGGAGGCACCGGGCACTGAAAGGGGAGTTGGAGGCTGCATGGGATTACCGATGGTGTGGACCACTGGGGAGCACATGGAGTAGGATGGAGGAGCAGACATAGGGACCGCCTGCGCTGCTCCACTGGGACTGGGGCCAGCCATGAAGTGGGTCAGCAACGCACTCACCGCATTATTCGCGGGGACAGAGACAGAATAGGACATCGGCCCCCCTCCACCTCCAGAGGGGTGTGTGGGAGCAGGACCTGTCTCAAACACCACTTGAGGCATAGGGGTGCAAACAGGGTTGGATGCTGGGGCCGGCATGGAGCCATACATGGATGGAGGCATTGGGGCACTCGCAGCAGGAGGTACAGTCTCACATACGACACGGAAGCCAGGATCGCATCCCATCTCAAAACCAGGATTGATGCTTGGATTGAAGCCTTGGTTGCAGATGGAATTGCATAAAGGATGGCCTGCAGGGAGGTACACGAAATCGTACACAGGCTGCCCCCCTGCGCTGCAGTTTGGGTTGCACACTGGGATACAGATATATTCACACATGGAGTTGAACGCAGGGTCTGCCACAGGGACAGGCCCAGAGCCGTTCATGGGGACGGAGCCGTTCTCACACGCTGGGAGTGACCCGTTCTGGCTGATGGGCAGGACACCATTCTGGCCTGCGGAGCAGCACACTTCAGCTTTGGCACATCCCTTGCAGTAGGCAAACTTGTGGCACCCAAGGTTGGCCAGGAGCCGGTGACTGCCAAGCCTGTAAGGTGTGAACTCCACGATGGTCCGTGCCTGTTGGTTGGATGCCAGCGTTCCCAAACTGGAGTAAGATAAAGAAAAGAATTAGGATCCTAATCCTTAGCGCTCAGAGACCTAAGCACTACAAGATGAGTGCACAAAATTAAGTTTGATTTGTTATGACGTATTTTAGAAATGAACTGTTATGACAACTTTGTTATTCTTGTCTTCTTCCAAAAAACCCCATATTCTCTGTTGTGAAAAGTATGTTAAAAACTTTTGTCCCAAAAAATTTGGAAGACTCCCATAGCCAGTTCTGTAATTGGAACTGGAAAATCATTTGTGATACTGACTTGAATTCTTAAAAAATGTGGCACCCTTCTGTCTAAAAGGTGTATTTATTGCTTACCATTTCCAGCAGTTTGACAGGGCAGCTTTGTGGAATCCAGTTCATTACTATTCAGTGAGAACAATTCTTAACTTCTTGCCCTCAAAACTAGTCATACTTTTGTCAGTTCTCCTTGTCATGAAGAGAAGCAATGCATATTAATGAACATCTACTTTTCCTAGAATGTTACAGCATCTTGGAAGTTTCCAGTTTCCTGTGATTAACTTGTTATGAGCTTAGTATGCATATTGCTATTTCTCACTGTCGTTCACTAATTGTTCCTATATGTGGTTAGTGCCAGTTCATGAATATTTAGAGGAATTTTATTGTAAACTCAATATGAATGCAAGAGACGAGGGACCCAGCTAGTACTTCTTGTAAAGACAAGTGTGTAGACAGATATTTGGTGCACCCACTTAAATTAAATCTTGAGAAAAATGAAGCAGTGTCATTCCTTGCCAGCTTTAAATTACCATCAGTTTTAAGAGGAGTGAGGCTTTTAATGGAATCTCAAAGTAATAAGAGGCAAAATGTCTTGTTCATGTGCTAAACGCCAAAAATATCAGAACTATTGTCTCTCTCAAAACCCATCCTGAACTTGCACACCTCAGTCACCCCCAATATTATCCCCATTTCAAGAACTGATGAACTTACTCAATGGTCATTGGCTCTTTGAATAAACCACAGCCTTCTAATGTCATTACACAATTCTTCATATCTTCCTGCAGAGGATTACAGAAGGAGATCTCTGCAGTACATGGTACTTTCAGTCTGGGTTGGCTCAGTAGCTATTTAAAAAAGAAACAAACACATTTTATGTTTTTTAATCCTTACAAAACTGACAATGAAGTAAATAAATGGAAGGAAACAAAATTTTAAAAGAATTAATAATACACATTGCTTCTATGATCTCAATACATTACTAAGTAAATTGTTTTACTTTAAAAATCACATCAATCTTGCTATTAAAAAAAAAAAGGCAATAAGATAAAAGAAAAATGTAAAGTATTTCAGTTTATTTGCATTGTACTTAGGAAGTGGCAAATAAGAGTCCCCAGGTCTGTTCCTTAGATACCAAATTCCATAAAGTTTCTTACCTTTACAATAACAGGTGGTCTGTTGACCACAATATCCCTGCTCACCATCAGAACTTCTCCACACTCTGGGTCTGAGACAGCAACTACTTTCATAATGTTGTGATCACAGAGATAAGGTCCATATTGATTATATGATATACACAGCGGAATTTTTTTCACTGTAAAACAAATTTATTTCTTTATTTTTCTGAGTTTTTTTATTAATACTCTTACTTTCCTTCCTCATAAAGTTTAACTCACTCTTACAATGGCTTAATTAAATATTAAGTTATCATGGCATCTTTGAAAATAGACAGAAGTTTTCCTGACTTAGGGTGATTCATTGCTATCTTCAGCAATCAATTTTACAGTTTTCATCTATCAGTGAATTTGCAAGATTAGTGGGTGGTGGTGATGATGATAATTATTAAGCAAAATTTGGAAATTGTTCCTTCCAGTGGAAATCTTAAAGCAATAATTAAAATACAGGCAAATTAAAGCCTCATAAAATAGAATTTTAATATCAGTATGAAATTTTGTCTTATGTAGTTTAATTAAAGGGATCCTGTTTCTTCCAGAAAAAGACATAAACCATGGAAACAGGTTTTTATATTTTGCTACACATCTGCACTTCCCAGCATATGGTATGTCTAGGTGGTCTAAGCAAGTGTTTTACACTGGCTGATATCTTTGGGTCAAAGAAAGCATTGTTGTTCTGATAGAGAATTGCAGATTTGCAGCATTATCTTTGTATTGAGTATAAGGTCCAGAACTGATATTTTAATGAAACAATTTTTTAAACTATCATAAGAATCTCTAAACCTTGAGAAATTAAGGAAAGACTACAATTTACCTGTCACCATACATGTAGTATTGACATTATGTTGATTTTTGAGAGATCACCCTAAAGGGAATTCAGCTGTCGATACTTAACACTGTACACATTCACTTCCCACCACTGTTAGGAAGTCTCCACAAATCCTGAAAACTATCTCCTAAAAAGAACAGGGTATTATAGAATTTCACCCTCTTACCTTCCCTTGGACCCAATGTGACATTCACACAGTCTTTCCAAAATTGATCCATTGGACAACCACTGTAGGTTATAATTTGTGCGCACAAATTAAACTTCAGGGTTTTGGTCTCATTACGCAAATTTTCGAGCAGCCAGTTCAGTTGGACATCTTCACCATACATTGGGCAGTTAGCCATCTTTAACCTCATGTTAACTCCTGAGTCGCTCAAAAATGGGTTTTTCAGAGATGATAACTCTCTGTCAATATGACAGTTTGAAGCATTGCAATACCCTGGGTGAATTCTTCTGTAAGCCCGGTAATAGGCTTCTTTGTTTTTCACAGAACCTGATAAAGAAGATATATGATAATGAATCTGCTGGAGGCACAAGAACCCTATTATTATTCTACCCAAACAATAAAGATAATTAAATTTATTGCTTCTTCTTCCTGGAATCCAAAGTAGCAGGTTGCTGTAGAACAAATGCACCAGATAATGAAATATGAGATACAGCAGACTGAATGCACAGAAGAAAATAAACACCTCAGGGGGAAAAAAAAATTAAAACCTTATTTTACTTTTAAGTAGTTAAATATAAAAATGGTCATGTAAATCTTAAAATGCATAGTTAGTACAAAACTCAAAATATAATTCTTTAAAAGGATAAGGGTGAATATTAGATGCTACCATTCAAAAGACGAAATATGCCATTAAAACAAAGAAACTATAGTTTTCCAACCGAGCAACAAAAAATAAACTAAAAAAACCCACAGAGCTTGCAAATGTACAATCAGCTGTGATCTACTGTCCATTCCCTAATGCAATTTTGATGGTTGAACTCCTCCCATCTACTGAAATATGAAAATCAGTAATCCATGGCCCAAAGAACAGCAGAATATGCTAAAAATACATGAATTTAGTAAGTAGGCATATTTTCTGACAGACCTACTACAAGAAGCAAAAAGTAAGGTGTTAGTCCTAGGTTTAGAATAATTTGTGGGGTTTTTTTCAGATTTTCTTGAGTCTGCCAATATTTTAAATTACTTTAAAGGTGAGATCAAAACATATACGTACAAACACTGTTATTTAAAGGGCTGGAATGCATGTCCTGTAAGGAGCAGCTAAGAGTTTTGGCTTTGTCTAGTTTGGAGAAAAGGAGGCTAAGCAGTGATCTCATTGTTCTTCCCGGCTTCCTGAGAAAAGGAAGTGGAAGCGGAGGTGCCGAGTTCTTTTTCCTGGTGTCCAGTCACAGGAAGCATGGGAATGGTTCAAACTTGTGCTAGGGAAAGTTTAGACTAGACATTAGGAAAAATTTCTTTATTGTGAGGCTGGTCAAACACTAGAACAGGCTTCCTAGAGAGGTGGTTGATGGGCCATGGTTGTCAGTGTCTTAAGAAGAGGTATTTAATAGTATGTTTCAACTTTCAGTCAGTCCTGACATGTGAGGCTGTTGGATGAGATGGTCATTGTCAGTCCTTCCATCTAAAATATCGTATCGTATCGTATCGTATCGTATTGTATCCTATCCTATCCTATCCTATCCTATCCTAGCCTATATCCTATCCTATCCTAATTAGTATGTGCTTTGTTGTAATTGTCTAAATATATTTAAAAGTTTTAAAATCTAAATCTTTAAAGAGAAAAGCATCTGCCTCTTTCTCAGAAATGAAAACACAATTTCAGATTATTTTGCACATTTAAACACAGGAGAGATTACTTTGATACTTCCTCTAACCCATTTAATATGTTTTCAACTTACCTAGTTCATACTTGTAAGCTCCAGTGATGTCTTCAAATTGCTCACTGCCAACACTCTTGGTGATTAGACGTTGTCCACATGGCCATGTGTCACAGAAAAATTTTGTTCTTTTGGCATTGTTTTGGGAAAGCCAGCCAACATAGTTTGAATTTACTCGAGAAAACATATGATGACCATCATAATCCAAGTCCAGTTCCCCTTCCCTGATGCTTCGAACCCATGTAGGACCACTGCAAGCTGAACCTAAACCGGAGAACAAAAATGTTATGACGCATCATAACCCGAGTAGTAGGGAATCTCAGCAACATAATCTGAGGAAAGTGATTCCAACTATAGTAAAGTTACCTCTGCCTGTTTCCAGAGGTGTTGGATCCAGGCACTGCCAGTCACCGCAGCACTGATTAATGTCTCTGCGAGCCATCCAAGACTCATTCCAGCAGTGGTATCGCCTGTAGAATGAAGGAATATATGATTAAAGATGTCCCTTGGATTAATGTTTAATGCCTATGACTGAGGAAAACCATGTCCATGATAATCTTTCAATCAACTGAAGATTTTGTATGTCTTAACACTGTTAATGATGTTTATGACAGGAGTGGTTTTGTTTGCTTTATATCACTCAGACTGGAAATATGTTCCAGAACCCCACAGACCTGATTGCAAAATATGTTTCCTTGAGATGGTAACATGACACCACAGTTCTTTTGTTTAACAGGAATTAAAAGGTTTATAAGAATGAACCAATCCATTACAAGGAACATCAGGAGGACAAGAGAGGTATCAACCAAGTGATTATGACTGAAGATAAAAGTCCAAATTAAAGATAAATTTTCCCTAGCATTTCATAATCTACTTTTACAGCTCCTAAGTTTGATGGCCTTATTCTTGTTAGCTGAGAAGGGTAAGTAGGAAGCACGGATTCTCACAAGAGGTGTTGATTTTTTCCTTTTTAAAATCTACATTGAGTAGACTGCCTCTTTAGTAATTTCATGGTTTTGAAATGCATTATTAGGAAACTGAAGACCATAACCCCACTAAAGAAAGACATACACCAAAGAAACACTGATCTGCTAAATTCATACCAGTTTTCCTATGAAATAACTTTTTAAAAGGGCAAAAGAGCTTTATATTTTTCTTACTTACCATAGCTTGTCTTTGCCACATAGGTTTTTACCAGTAGTGTCAAAAATCTCATTGATTCCAAGGGGATTCTCAATTGAGCAAGGAAAACAGAAGCTTGTGACAACACGGCTTGGAATTCCCAAACACCTCATCACTGTAAGAAAAAAAATATGAATGAATCATTACAAATCACAATTAATCAGGCAAATCCTTCACTTATTTTATAAATAATTATCTTATATTCTAATTTGCAGTTATAGAAACACAGTGGACAGGAAGCAATATTTGGGACGCAGTATCTTCAAAATTCTTTTTAGTTCTTGAAAAGCAGTTTGAAAAACCAGATGTTTTAATCATTTAATGTTCAGAAATCATTAACCTGATTCTCCATTAATAAAACATAATTTTTTTTTTAATAAATATTATGGTACATATAGATTCATCTACAGGACTTAAATTAAACTTTCTTCACTCAATGTAGAAGCAGGTTCAGTAGATAAATGAAGTTGGAACTTAGATCTTCTGTCTGTAGAGTTTAGTGCACTTTTATCTAATCTTTTGCATTAAAAGGAAAATATAGCCTAATGCTTTTGTGTTTTGGAGGAGACATTACTAGAGGTCTTCCTGTTCATAACTTAGTGTTTTTTCTCATCCTTCAAACATCACCCAAAGCATACATTTTGGCTCCACAATGGGGTTGTACTAGATGACCTTTAAAGGTCTCTTCCAACCTCAGCTATTCTATGATTCAGTGATGCTGCACTTGTGCTTTCTGTGTTTTAATAAAAATTTCAATATTGATAACTTCATAATATGAAGGTCACAGAGAAGATGGAACTACTTCTTTTCTTGCTCTTCAGCCTGTATAGGAATGCAAAAGGTTGATAATAAACACTATATCTGGAGCATATTCTTTTCCAGTAAAATGCTTATGAGTTAAATACTTCAAGTAATTTTTAAGGTCAGGGGTTTTTGATCCTTGTTTTCTCTCTTCTTTTATCTATAAACAAGGTAAGGGCAAACTGAAATATCATACCTGTGCACATTACTGAAGCAAGAGATCCACAGTACCCATATCTGACTGGCCTGCATCTGCCACTGTACCACTGCTGTAGAATAGGGACGCTTCCATTCCAGGAAAATGGCTTTGTTCCTTTCAGGTAATCATTGTTTTCTGGAATCTTCATGATACTGCTAGTGGTATGGCTGCTTATCTAAAAAGAAAAAAGAAAAACAAACTTTTCAAATAGCCAACCATGTGTTCACGTTCTAAACATGTCTCAAAATCAGCAGAGATTAGCGTTACAAGTTTAACTTTCCTGTGAATCGGAGCACAGAAAGGATTTTTCCTCCTCCCCTGCTGTATTAGATTAATGTGCAGTTCATCCTTCTACAGTATAATGTAGTGTGACATTATCTATTCAGAGGTCTCACACCCCCACAGATCTTACCATGTGATTCACCACCATGCTGACATGCACAGGGTCATTACGCCAACAGTGGTCACGATCAGAGCCGTGATGGTAACTTGCACCCATATCTAAGATCTTCAAGCAGATATCCAGAATCCCATCTTCAAACTGAGGAAAAAGAGGTTAACATAGGCATCATGGTATGCTGACGTTGCTAAAGTACCTTTCTTATCAATAATCTAGTCTTTTTCACTTAAATGAGCTGCCCTCTCTCCTCTCCTGCCCTTTTTTCTTTTATTCTCTTTTTTTTCTTTTGTTAAATCAAGCACAGCTCCTAGTGGTCTGCATGGTGTTGCCTATCTGCCCGAAGGAAAACCAAAGGCAAAACCATGTCATTTTTACTTAAGTTTAACCAATGGAATAATTTTCCTTCAGAAGCACAATATTTGTTTCATCTGTTCCCAGAACATTCTGCAATTTCCCTCATTTTACTAGATAAAGCTTTGGTCCGGTTATTTGGACTACAGTGAAATTCTCAGACATTTTGGTTTGTGTATGCATAGTCTGTACTGATCCTAAAAACCTTTGCACTACAAATAGAGCATACACTTCTGAAAAAATACAAAAATACAGACAACACTTCATCTTTGAGTATATGGATGACATCTATTTTTGAGCAAGTGTTAAAAAAGTACCTGTCCAAAGTGCCATGGTCGAGAGGTTATGTGCTTGTGAACTCCTTCATACAGTATTCCATGTTCATTCAGAATGTATTCTTCTCTATGGGCCTGACTGTCCAAATACACAGGGTCATCTGGAAAAGATGAAGAGCTTTCATTCAGACAAAATGTACCTTAATAGTACTTCTGTGTTTCTGCATCACTGTATCCCTCTTTCCTTTCCTACCAGTTTTTGATTTATACTTTTAAGGATGTTGAAGGCTATGGGCTCTTCAAGCATTCACAGACAATTCATTCCTAGTTAGGCCAGATATCTTTATTAAGTCTCTCCCTGCTGCAGGACATATGAATGGAAGAGCCTGAAATTTATCTTCACACTAAGCTGTTCTACAAGTCAAACACTCAGCACATAGGGTTGTGTATCTGACTTAGATCAAATCAGCACAGACAATGTGAATATTTGTCATGTAATGATTTTGGCAAGGTCATACAGACTCCAGAATTCCTTTCTACCAGAGCCAGATCTACAGAATTTATTTTGTATTTGTACTATGTTATTTTATGATGATAACATAGTATTCACAGAATTACAAAGTGGTTGAGGCTGGAAAGGTGCCTCTGGAGGTGATCTGGTCCAACCTCCAGCCAGTTTCCCAGCCCACATCCAGATGGCTTTTGAATATCTCCTAGAATGGAGACTCCACAACCTCTCTGGATACCTGTGCTAGTGCTCAGTCACTCTCACAGCAAAAATGTGTTTCTGATGAATAGAGAAATCTTCCCAATGCTTTCTATCCTGTCAAGACACTGTAAAAGTTCTGGGAAAAAATTATACTCCACCCCTACTGCCACTAAGAAAACAAATCAAAACAATGGCTTGAGACAGTCTTGAACTTGGAGGAAAAAAATTTAAAATAACAAAATTAAATCTCTCCTTGATTCTTATTCTTTCTGTAACTACATCTTTTACATAGCAGCTAAATAATAAATATGTTCAACAGCTTTACTCTTTTTCTTAAAACAGTTAACAATCTTAAACCAGCTATTTTTCTTAAAACAATATGATTATCACTAGATAATCATTCTTACCTGCACACCAAGGATTAAAAAGGACATAAAAATCTCCAAGACACCGCTGATATGTGTGACCACAAGATGTGATTTGCATATTGAGAATATAACGGCCAATGCAGACACTGGAGGGAGGAAACACGCTGATACTGATGCATTTTGGCTGATGAACTTTGTAGGAAGCACTCCAACAGGTTTGATCCAGACATCTGCCCATTGGGAAGGTGCATTTTGTCTCATTTGATTCACAGGGTCTGAGGCCTGTTCAGGAAAATAAAAACCACTTCCATCAGACTACTAAACCAAGCACATGTAAAAGGGGAGCAATTTGCTTAAGGCATCATTTGCAAGGCGAAGCTCCCAAGGGTGGATTTTCTTTTCCACTTGTCACTTCTCTAGCAGAGTGAGAAAACTTTACATGTTAGAAGAACTGCCTGATTTAGGGGAAGGTAGTCTTTTCACATGGAACATGAGTAGGTTATGGGAATATGAAGATTATGACAGAAGTCTTTTGAAGACTATGGGAAATATTATTAACCAGCAAAGGACTAGGAAAGACTACAAAGTGTTTGGGAGTGACTACCTGTCTCCACGGTGAAAACAGCCTGGTCCACGGAGTCATCCCATTCCCGATTTTGGAAACGAGCATAAAAGCTGAAGGCTTGCCCTCTCCTTATTATTTGTCTGTCAGTTCCGAAGAAATGGGTATTATGTATTTGACAGTTGGAAGGACAGTTCAAGTCGACTTCTCCCAGCTCAATAACTGCAGGACAGAGAAAGGAGCACAAAGAAAAAGGCCCATATAATTAGCTTCCCAACTCTGACTGTGGTTGAGATTAGGTGAAAGAGGAGACAATGATGAAAGACAGAGAAAACTCTTTCAAAATTCATTCAAGACTGTTCAAATTCAGCAAGACTGAAATTGAGACATACATCCATAAAAGTTCCTTTACAAGTTCAACACTTTCCTAGCTTGCAGATGGAAACTTGTCTAACTCTTTGATTTTAAAAGCAGTGCTACAAGTTCCATTTCTTTTAAATTGTGCCTGATTGTATCATAAATACCTGATGCTAAAGGACAATATTAGTGTCTCTACTTGAAAAGTTGACTTTGCATTGTAATATTCTCTCTGCACATTAAAACATACTGTCTACAGACAGTTACAGTTTTGCACATGTTATCATTTGAAATGTTTGCATTTGTTTTATAAAATAAATTAAAAATTCAATAGAAAAAATAAAAAACATGATAACATGTGCATGTGTTTGAAAGCTTAAGTGGCACTCTAAATGATTTATGAAAAAAAGAGATATGTATAAATATCTACCCAAAACTTTAAATAATTTGAAAGACGCACGCAAATGTCTCACTCTGTACTCCCAAAGTCATAAAAAAGTTTGCAGATATCTTTGAGAAACTTAATGGAAAAGGAAATATTCACAAATTGTGACATTTTAAAATGCTGACAATCCAGGTGCTGTGATTATCTTGACAAAAATCTTGGCTGATTCCCCCTTAGGCATCCTGTCTGCATATCAGTCATTTCATAGGAGTAATTATGACACTGGTGCCAGAAGGATGGGTGGCAACATTCATCTCCATTTATTTGCATACAACATTTTATTTTCCAAAGTTCTTCACTCTAATTGAAGACGATGGGAGCTACAGATTCTCAGCAGTTTTGGAAACTGTTTTTACTGATGTACAAAGTCTTGTATATTATCATAATTTTAGAGAGTGAAATTTGGTCCTGCTAAGCCCACAGAAAGATCTAACAATACAATTTCTCTAACTACATGGGTACTTCACCGAATACAGAATTAATATTTAAGGGAAAATAATTTTTCCCATCCAGATCCAATGGTGTATCCACATGAGGGGACACTCATAGCTAAGATAGCTAAGCCCTTGGGAACAGGACATTTTTAATACAAAAAAGTGTTAAGTGAGGCAGTGGGGGAAGGGAAGGGGGCAGAATAGGTACAGAAGAGGCAAAAAAAAAAAAAAAAAAAAGCATTTTTTTCTGATTTGTTTTCCTTGACTAAAAATAATCTTATTTCTCATCTAACTATTTAAGTTTGGTAATGCATTGGTCATTCAGATGCAACAAATGCAGAGCTGAGTGCTACCGATGATAAAAAATTGCACACAATCAACAGTAACCAAAAAATACAGGAGTGCATTACAGCATTATTGCTCATGAATACAACATACCTGCCAACAAGAAAGAGCAACAGAATTGAACTGAAAATCTCATATCTTAATGACTGTTGTCAACCATAACACAAAGAATTCTGGTCAAAACAAAAGTTCTTATAGCACACATGGCAAATTCCTGCAGTCAAGAACACTGAAAGAACCTGATCCTTGCCTGGTCTCTGGAGGTGTTTGTAAACCAAGACAACTACTCTTCATCCACTCAGTAATCCAGCTGAACTGGAACATCAGGGAGCTGAGATACTACGTTTCCCAGGGAAGTTCTCTAAAGTCAGCCCACAGTTTGCTTATCAGATTTAAGTATTGCAACTGGATCACAAAGGAGCTAATGATTGCTTTCTTAAGCATAGACAGCTCAGAAAAAATATGAAAGGCAATTCAGTTTCACATTTCTTACTGGTTTTCTGCCTCTGGTAGAAACCTGACCATCAATACCAGCCACAGGTTTTTCTCTATCAATTCATATTTTTTCTTCATTCAAGACAGAATACTTCAGGTATCCATTGGAAGATAATTATTTCTAGTATGAGAATACTGAAACCTAGCATTCTGTAACTTATGCTGGAAATAAAATTTATTCTTTTCCATGCTATTTCCTGTTTTCAGAATTGGCTGCCGTTTCACTAAATCTTTTCCATAGCTCTTTTTCCTTCATAGTAGTTTTTTTCAAAAGTTGTTTTTTCCCTTTTCTCACTAGTTCCACAAAGAACATCCTAACATGCAAGTAATCCCTACACAAAAATACGTGCAATTTTTTCGGTCTGCACACATGATCATTTAATTATTTCTGTGTTCAGTCCTGGTTTAAGGGATATTAAAGTTTCAAGACACTTACCTTCCATTTTTCTTCTACATGTACTGGTATCTGAAGCACAGTACTGGTGGAGATACCAGCTCCTCAGCAAGACGCACTGCAAGGTCTGGCTGATCTCCTCTGCCAACCAACCTAATTTCCTCTCAGTAACACTTATATTCAGAACTAAGAGGCTGTCACATGTGTTGCATCAACAAAATACTTGTTTTAAAAGAGGCCCCACCCATGTGTCTACTGATGCTCATAAATGATTCATTTTAACTTCCAGCATTATTAGGGAGAGTCCTGCGGCTGAATGGAGGGAAGAGATCATGGCACCTATAGCACACTGCTCTCGGTGTCCCACAGCTTGCCCTGTCTCCAAAATCCTTTAAAGCCAGGATGAATCTAAACACATTTCAGGGTTAGCCATTATTTGTAGCCATACAAAGTTGCCAGCACCTACTGTTCCCTTCTGGCTAGACATCTTCAGACAGCTATGGAAAACAATAAGGCACACTAGGCTAAAGCTGAATTTACACTCTCAGAATATGGTAAACATTGGACATTTTTAGCGTAATAAAAGCAGAAAGCGCAGCTTTGAGCAAGTCTGCACAGCACTCCCTCTGAGGGGAGGTCAGAACAAAATGATCAGTTACAAACTTTTCCAGCTAAATTGTAAAATATGCAGACAGCATGCACTAAATTGAAGTTGACAATGAAATTTAACCTAAAAATTGTTTATACTTCATATGTATTTGTTTACTAGCATACAATTTTGCAGCTTACTTAGCTTACTCCACCTCCCTTCCCCTGAAATTTTGAAAACCATTTCCAACAGTACCTGCGAACAAAAACCATGTTAATGTGTTAACACAAAATTTGTGCTATTTTATTTAGGTTCCAATCATATTTAATAAAATGAAACAAAACAACCACAACAGTGCTCTCTTTGCACTCTCGGTGATGAATACTTTAGCCTGCAAATAGAAGACATGGACTGAAATTTCTTCTGGCAAAACCAGAATGAACATGTGGTACTAGTTTCCTCCTATCCTTCTTATGCCTCTATGCCAAGCTTTACTCCATAAGCTATCTTTTGAATCCCTCAAAGTTATACTTTGGATTGAAAAAAATGTAACCCTAAAATAAAACAATATGTAACCCCAGACAAACCAAGAAAAACGAAACACAAAAATCATTCATTGAGATAGAAAGATTCAGACACAATGACTGAAGTTCAGTGATTTGCATAACTGCCTGGATTCTAGACAGTGCTTTAAGAAATCATGGAATGAAAAAGCTTAGCAAACAGTGAAATAACTTAGTAAGCATAGCCTAACAGCTCAGGTATTGTGAAATAACTTCAGAGAAATTAAAGCAAAGAAAAAAAATCAGCACATCAACAGTGGGTTTGGAAGAGAGCAGGTAAAAAATGTGTATGACTGATGCATATGATAGTGAATTTAATTTTCAATGTGTTCATATTTTGAAAATTATAAATGTTTGGCTAGTCAGAGACAGACATAAAAATGTCTGAATCCTAAGTATTTTAATCACCTCTCATATACCTGAAAGATTTCTTTTTCTTAGTATTTGCCATTTGACTATTAAAGTTCAACTCACTGAAAAATGAAAAACTAAAAACACCACACTTTCATAAGAAATAATTTAGCTGCTAAACACACATAATCAACTTTAAATCAGCCTGGAGAATTGGAATGGTAGTGGTCAAGTCAGCCACCAGAGACATGCCTAAAAGCAGATGCACATACTAGCATCCAGAGAACAGAACAGAAACATAACAAAGTTGGTCACAGTTTCCAAGAATATATTAAAATCCCCTCAAATACATCTAGTTCAACCTTCTGACTGAAATATCTTGGTAAATGAAAGCCTGTGACAAATAAAAGAAAACAAATAAGCATCAGTAAGTGGCTGCACCTGTGGGTTCAAAGAGACTTAATTAAGTGTTTAAAACAATAAAGACCTGAATCAGGAGGAGAACACTTTCTGTATGGATATGAGTCACTGGCTTTAGTAAGTACGCTTGCTTAGATCCTTGAAGCAGCTTTGGTGCCTATCTGTCTCTGCAGGATCATTATATAGATGCCCAGCCCCAAAGCAAAGCCTCCCAGATACCCAAGTTCCTGCCTATCAGTGTCTGCAGAGCCATCCAATTGCTGCTGCCAGCTCACAGCTATCAGACTGGTTGGTCCTCTCACCCAAGCCCAGGCCTCATGCACCTAAAGTAAGAATCTTCAGCAAGGCAGAAAATCATAACACTGGCCCTCTTGATGCTCTCAGTCTGTTCTTACTCCTTTTGCCTACTAAGCCCTGCATCATATTCCTTGCATTTGTGTCATCCATGCAACAGGGCCACCACCCAAAAAAAGAGCCATGGGAAACTGAGCACAAACAGGAAACACAGATAGGGTTCAGAGAAAGGTTTCTCCTCTCAGTTTATGGCTTCTCTGATGTGTCCTGACTGCTGACTTCCAAGGCAGGTTGCTGACATCTGTCCAAAGTGTCTCCTCCTGGATAGAAACTGCTCCCCTCCCTGCCAGACAGTGAGGTTGCCAAGCTGAGGCTGATGATCCCTTGGTGTCAGCTGAGGATGCTTTCTCCTCTGACTCCATCTTTTTCCCTCACTTTCCTCATCTTTCACACAAGCTGTCCTCAAGGTTACTACAGTATCTTTCTAACACATCCAAAATTCTCTGACATGTACAAAGCAGATGATACACCTGATGCAAGCCTGAAAATTCTGCAAGATAGCATAATTATGAGGATTTAGACACTTCCAGAATTTAAGCCATTTAGGTTATTAAGTTTCTTTGACCTTGAAGTTGGCCTTACAACAGTAAGACTTCACTTACATATTACAGTAGGCTTGGTGTTTTTTTTAAATATTACTTATGTTGCAATAGACTGACACGTGATGAGCATTTACAAAGTCAAGTGGTGGGACTAAGGGTCCAAAACCTCCATAGCTTTTAATTGCCCATTAAACCACCAGGAAAGGGTGAGGATTGAACAACAGGGCACTGCAATCACTGAAAAAAACATCTGTGAATGGCACTGCATCACTAAGATATTTGGGAACAATAGAGAGGTCACAGTAATCAAGCATCCAAGCAAGGAATCTTTTCAAGAAAAAGGTACATAAATGACAGCTCAACAGGGGAAAAAGGAAGGAATCTGAAATTATGTGAACTGAGATTAATGCATTTTGGTGAAAGTGTCATCTGCTGGAAAGCTGGGGTAACTGCAGTTATTAAAAAGCATTTTTCAACTTAGGCATGCTTCAACAAGCAGCTCTGAAGTTCATTTCTTGTATTGGTCATATAATTGTATTCCTTTGATCACTGGACCTGGAGCTGATCTTATAACAGTGACTGACAGCATTAAAAGATACATGTCAAGATAGTATATTTGAAATCATTCAGTAGCATCACCCTCTGCTCCTGAGAGTTCAGGAATATGCATGTCTAACAAGGAAAGGGGATAGAGAAGAAAAAATCAGATGCTACAGGTTAACTCTAAAATAAGCACATTTGTTAGGAATCCACATCTGACATTTAGAAGCTTCATATTACAAGGGCTACAGGCTGGCAAACTAACATGAAGTCTGTCACAGAACACACCCAGAGTTTCTTAAAATTCATAAATTAATTTGCAATGAAGTTGCCTTTCATTAAAGAGCCTGAAAGCACTGGCAGGTACTCTGTTAAGTGTAAACAAGCATTACAACATCATATTTACAGATGAATTAGGACAAAGAAATGCTTCAAATGAAATCTGAAACAAGAAGTCTGTGTGTTTTAAGAAGTACATGGCAGCTCTGTCTTTCTAGAAGCTGGAGGAAATTAGCAGCATTAAATAATTATAGGTGGTTTCTGACACAACGAAACCACCAGTCTTCATACAAAGAAACAAAAAACTCCTTCAAGGAAGCTCCCATCCCATCCAAGCTGGACCATCACTTGGAGTTCTGATGGAGCTACTTGCTCTCTGGTCTCAGACTTTTTACTGGTTTCTCATTAACTGTAAGCCACTATTTTGCTCCATGCAGTAGGATGTGTTTTCAATGTCTGTGGTGCAGGTGAGGAACACACACACCTACAATGTTGCAGTATATTCAGAAAGGTCAGTTACAGGACATGTACCTCATGACAGCAGGCAACATCATTTGTGCTTAAGGCATATTGTCAATATATTTAGAACAGAACCTAGGCAAAATGCTAAGCCATGTACCTTAATAACAGTAACAGCAATGACCAGGTTAACTGAATAGAATACAACCATAAACATTACATAAGTTTCAATTAGTAGGTAATAATAAAAAGAAAAATTTGATTTGTTTACCAAAAAAAAAACACCCAAAAAACCAAGGCTCCAACCCCTTTTCACAAACTGAAATTAGAATTTATAGCTGAGTAATTTGCCAGGTAACCTACTCTAAGTACTGTAAGTTCACTTTCAAATGAACTTGTTCCCAACTATATTTAAAAACGGAACTGGAATAACCTAGCACTACTGTAAATTCAAACCTCAGCTCACTGAGCAGTAACTTTCCCACACACAGAAACCTATAAATCACCCAGCCTGTGATTATAACCCACCAGTCTAACTGCCCCAACTATCCAGTAGATACCATGGATCTGTTGCCTGTGCGGGCAATCCTAATTGGAAGAGACTCAGTCTGAGCAGTGGGAGTTGAAAGAATAAAATGAGGTGAGACATTTACCAGGTTGAATTGTAGGCTCTCTTGAAGAATGCAAATTGGTTCCTATTCTGTTCTTTAATTTAAAGCTTTTTTTTTTAATGAAGCTTGTTTGTTGTTTAAAAATATCCATTTTCTTCTCTAATGCTTTTTTAGTAGAAGTTTGTTTAAAATTTTGTTATATAGGAGTAGAGTTCAACATCTTGGGGCACAGGTCCAAAATACAGTATATTTTCAATATAAAGAGCTCTCGAATTCAGCAGGAAAGTATTTAATGTAAAAACAGAGATGAGGAAATACCTTTATTCTAACAAACTGGATTCAACACCTGTCTGATGTAACTTTCTCAAGATTTCTAAAATTTTCCACTCAGCTTATTTTGAACTTAAAAATATGTAATTATCATCTGGTTTAATT